ACAAAGGGCATGGCACAGAGTGAGCTCAGGGAGTGACTGACTGCGATCAATTACACTGAACTGCATGTATTCTGAGTTGAAAGGAGCATAGGCAGGTGGCAAAAAATAGAATCACTAGGCCATGCAGGCTAAGAGCTAGAGCAGTGGCCAGGGAAGGAGTGACAGCCAAGGGCTGGGGTGGCAAGAGAGAGGGCTTACAAGGTCTCTGCTACCTGAACTCAGATAGTGGGGTTCCTGTCCCCGGTGGGGTTCCTGTCCCCAGTCCAGCCAGCTCAGTGCCCCACTGGAAGGGGGAAAACAGAGCTGATTTCTACCATACCACCAGGAGGACACTCCTTCCATGCTGTCTCTAGTGGACATAGGACTTATGAGAAAGGGACAGGCGGTGTAGCACAGCTTTTGGAGTGAGTCAGGCTTGAACTGGAAATCCAAAGAAGCCATAGTTACAGGATATCACTTGTGAGTCTCAGCTTCTGCACCTGCAAAATTGGGATAATGAGGCCAACTCATAGTCAATATAAGAATTGCAATTGTATTTGGGATGTGATCTATTCAACACTTGAAGTCTGGCACATACTGGTAAATGTTAGTCCTCACCCTTCATTGTTCTGGAAGAGGAAGTTCTCTGTGGGAGGCTGGTAGAGAGGTTTTTCAGGAAGAACTTGCAAGTACACAGAGGTACAGCAGAACCCGCCCAGGATTCTTCCAGAAGGCCAGAGGAGGTGGATAATTGCCCAGGCACAGCATGAGGTTGGGGGTGGGGGATGTCCTTCCACATGGAAAACTCTGATCCGCTGTGAGGATTGGTGGGCTCCGGGGCTGGGGCCCACTCTGTGTCACCAGCATCTCATCCCTCATGTTCAAGGTCTCAGTGCTTCCTTCCCTTAGCCAAAGGCTTCCCACCCTGGTTATAATTTCAGTCCCTCTGGGATTGGAACAAACCCATGGCTGCTTCTCACTACAGCTCTGTGAGGGGGAGGAGTACTTGCAGGCACTGGGAGCTGGCGGGGGACCCTGAAGGGGTTAGGAAAAGCAACACGGAGAATCCTAGACCAGCCGCTGGAACCAGGGTCAGCGCAGGGACCCCAGGGGAGAGGCAGCTACAAGCACCTACTTGCTGCTAGTTCAGTAAGAATGGCCAGGACCCTCTCTGTCCATCTTTTCAGCTAGATGCCCGTCTCCACCTAAACTACTGCATCAGCTTCTTCAGTGCATCCACGCCCCGCCCCCCCCCCCACCCCATGCTGGCCCAGGAGGGATTCTCCTCAATGCCAGTCTCACACCCTCTGCTCACACCCTCCACCCACTCCGTCCAAACTCTAAGCCCCACCCCCACCACATGGCCGTTTCCTGAACACATTCTGCCTGCTCACACACCTCTGCCATGTTCCTCCAGTTCCCCCTCCCCAGAGTAGTGCCCGCCCTGCCCACCGCTCACCCCTCTCACTCCCACACAGTCTATTAAAAACATTCGCTGTTGTTCAAGCACTGATTTTGCTCTAGTCTCTGGAGACATAAAAATGAATGAGACACTCAGATCCCTGCTCTTGAGAGGCTCAGGTCTAAGGGAGACACACCCCAAATCAACAGGTACCTTTAGAGAGATAAATGGGGGGCAGGTTGGGGTGGTGGGTGTTCCCCAGGGTAGGGGGTCAGAGAAGGCTGCTGAGGAAGGAGCAGGTGGAGGACACAGCCCAGACAAAGTCCTGGGTGGAAGGGGGAATGCGGCCCTTCTGGAACCGCACGGTTACAGTGCAGCAGGACGCGTGGCAAGGAGGGCTCTGACCCACAGCCCAGGTCGTGGGAGAAGGAAGAGCTCCCGAGTGAGCAGGATGCCAAAGAGGAAGGTGCCGCTGGGGCAGCCTGGTCGCTATCACAGCTGTGGGGGTTCTGACAGTGATGGCAGAGAGGCACTTGGTCACCAGGGGCCCTGTGCTGGGGGGTGGGGGGGGGGGTGCGAGCAGAGCAGGGGGAGGCTGGAGAAGAGCAGGCAAACGCATCCTGAGGATGGGGGATGGGAGAAGGGAGCTGTCCTCAGAGTCTGGCATGCTGGGTGGGGACCTTGGAGGAAAAGGCCATGAGGCCGGTGGAATTAGCTGGCCCCCAGATTTCAAGCACAACTCCCGTTTCCAGAATCTTCAGCGCAGGGTCAGCCTGAAGCCTCAGGGGGGGGACAGGCTTCGGAGCCAGAAGTACAGCTCCTGGTCTTCATTTCCTGTGACCTGCACGTGGAGGAGAGGATGCTGGTGACAAGAGCCCACAGGCAACTTCCTCAAGCCCCTGACCCCAGCGGCCTGCTCCCGGAGTGTACATGCTCTTCCTCCAGGCCTGGACGGAAGCAGGCGGTTCTGCGCGTGTGCTGGTGACGATTAAGCCATAACGATCTCTGCTGTCACTTTAAGTCACAGTACACAGTCTCAACTCAGATATTGTCCCAAAACTATATCTCCCAGTGCCATTTCATTCAACATCTCTATCATTATTTAAAGGTAAGTCTCCCTCTCCCTGTGTGCCGGCCCTCAGGTGGGCTGGCTGCAAGGCCTGCCAGCCTTGGACGAAGGGGATGCGTTCGGCCTGTTTAGTGTCTCTCACCTTCTCGAGCAGATGCCTGGGAGCTGTGGGGCCGAGGAAGGGCGAGAAGTCAGGCAGGAATGTTCTGACTTGCCCAGGCTGCCCCTAAGACGGCTCTGGCATGCTGGTGTCGCACACCTTGGGCTGACCCTCCCCTGAGGGTGCTCTGGTGCGGCACTCGGGGTTCCCTCAGCCAGGGGAGTCTCCCTGGCCCACCCCGCCTTGCACCGCACCCCTGATCTATCCTTCCACAGCCTCCGTGAACCCCCAAGTTCACTGCCAGTTCTGCCCCCTGAGCCCCATCTCAACAGCCCATTGGACAGGATCTGAGAAGATCCCCACGCCGTCTTTTCCATGCACGTGGCCCACATCTAATACACGAACCCCAAAACATCCACACATTCTTCACCCAACCCAGGGTGCAGCCCAACCCCAAACCAGCTGCTGCCATCCGTCTGCCCCACAGTGGAAGCCCAGAGTCCACCCCAGGCTCTCATGCCTCTGTACCCCAGGCAGAGGCAGCCCTGTCCTCGGTGACCCCGGCTGAGGGGGACGCTCGCCAAGCTCTCCAAAGCCCCTCTACACAAGGCTAACTCGGGCGAGCAGCCCTCACACCCTTTCCCTTTTTTGTTGGGAAAAACACAACGAGGATTTATCCAACAAAATGTTTACAAAACCCTTTTATCTCCTCCTTACAGAGCCTAGAATTGCCCTTCCAGCTCTTAGCTTTTCCTGTGCAGATCTGCCCCTCCTTTTGTCATTTTTTCGTGTACTGTGCTGTGGCAGAAACCTCCATTTTACTGACCTGTTCCACTTCTGTTATACTGTTCTTCAAGGCCTGGCTCAAATGCCCCGCCCCTCTCTAAGCCCCGCCCACCCTCTTCAAAGGGACTTTGTGGCTTCCTCCTCCCAGCTCCTTAGCTAAGAGGAAAGGGTAGATGAATGTTGACCTACTTTGTGCCGAAGGTGCCTGTCCTGTGTGACTGCCTGGCTTCCCGCTGGGCAGGGCCCCATGGCACGTGTGCTGGTGCCTCGACAGGTGCTCACCCCAGGTGACAATGACAATATGACCACACCCTTCCATCTTGGGCGTTTTCTGAGAGGGTCTCCTGGGTAAATGAGGCCTCACTCTTGAAGGCCAACACCTGTCTGGAACGTTAGACGATTCTGTGTGAAACTCGTCTGCCTGGACTTCCTACTCTGCGCCTCCTCAGTAGAAACCCTGTGGTTGCAATGCTGTGTTTCCTCAGTGACTCTGGGCTGGTGCATCCGCATCCTCAGCTGTGGTTCAAGACACCCTTTGCTGAGAATGGAGGGAGCCTGACTTACAGGTCCATTTGCTTGTCCGGCCTGTCCTTTGCAACATTCTTTCTGTGTTGCCTGGTGCGATGACGTTTTGTGCACCGTCCAGCCCACAGCCAGGCAAGCCTCCGGCAGCCTCCTTCCTGCCGCTGAGCTGTCTCTTGTTTGTTGTGGGCTGGAGCTCAGGGTAAACACCAGAGCTCAAGGTAAAGCAACAACAGACAGGCCCTGATGCCGGCTCCGGGCTCTCCGATACCGGGAAGCTAGGGCTGTGAGCATAGGCTTTACAATATGTATTCCAATGGTGCCAGAGCCTTTTCTGCTCCCTCCTGGCACTGTCTGGGCTCTAGATGCTAAAACACCTGGCTAGTTAACTGATAGGCGTGGCTGCTGTGGGCCCAACCTGCTGGCTCAGGGTGAAATAGACAGTGCAGGGGTGCAGCTCCACCTCCAGCATCTGTGCAGAGGGGGTTGGGGGGCAGGGTATGTGGGCAGTAGAACCCTGAGGGCCAGGTGGGCCTCTCCTTGGGACCAGGGTCATAGGGGGAGGGGCAGGCAGGGCACAGGCCATGCTGACTGAGGACACCAAGCTCAGAGTCACTTAGCCACCTGCCCAGGGTCACCCAGCAGCTCACTGAGACATCAGCCTATACTGGAAAGCAGGCCACCTAGTCCGTGGGCTGGACTTCCCGCACTTCAGTTTCCTGCACTGTAAAAAAGGGGAGATAGCAGAACTTGGTGGGCAGGAGGCAGGAGTATGTGAGGGGCAGATGCTTTGCAAGGGTAACAGCAGGCTCCCTCCTCCCTGGTTTCCCCACTCTGGGCGGAGGAAAATGTGTAGGAGTGACTGCGGAGAAACCTGGATCAAGGCCCAGCTCTGCCTTTACTTCTCTGTGTGACCCTTTCCCCCCTGGGCCTCAGTTTCCCCTCCACACAAGCACGGGTTTGAACACCTTGACTGATGAATTTCTTCTCAGCTATGAGATTCCACACTCTGCTCCTTTCCTCCTCCTCCTCCTCCTCTTCCCTCTCCAACTTCCCTGGGTGGGTGAGTGTGCCTGCGTGGGTGTGGCGGGGGCAGGGGCAGGGCCAGGGAGAGAGTCCTGCAGAAGAGGGTGGCAGTCAGGGGGAAGGGTGGCCAGGCTTTCACCTGCCCATGGGGCTCAGGGCTTCCTCAGCAGCTAAGGGTACTTGGGGCTGTTTAATCATTAAAGGAAAGGAGTGGAGCCAGGAGCACCTCAAAGTCCAGCCCGGTGGTGAGCGACTCACCGATGAGCATGGAGCTGGCGGCAATGGGGCCTGGAGCTGCAGGAAATGGGGCCAGGACGGCGACAGTTCTACGCTCAGCCCTGGGCGCCGGAGTCAGCCTGCACGCCTACGACATCGGTGTGCTGGTCGTCTACTTTGTCTTCGTCATTGGCGTAGGGGTCTGGGTGAGTCCTTCCGGAGGTCAGAGACCGGGACTGGCAGGGGAGGCAGAGCCACACTCTCATCTCTGGCTGCTGAGCCAGGGGCAGGTGGGGTAGAGCAGGGAGGGGCAGGGAAGCACAGGGGTTGGGGCAGAAGGGCCTTCAGGAAACAGCTGCACCAAGCCCTCCTTTCCTAGTGGGGCAGACCAAAGCCCAGAGAGGGGAGTGACTTGCCTGAGGTCACACAGGGAGCCAGAGCAGGCCAGCCCTGAGCTCTCTCCTGACTCCCTGCCCCACCCCTTCCCTCTTCCCCACGCAGAGACCCTGGCTCTGCGGATGCTTAACTCCTGGCCTACCCCACCCCGTTAGTCAGTGTCTCTCTCGGAAGGAAGCAGGGCTCCCAAAGGAGCTGGAACTCCCCTGTTCCCAGGAAGGGAGCCATGCGGGCCCCAAGGACCTTCTGCTCCCCGCTGTTCACCGAAGCCTCGGTGCCACAGACGGGGCCAGGCTCCGAGGTCAGCGAGCCCTGAGTTCAGACCCTGACTCCAACAGTTGGGGCCGCCTGGCCCTGGGAGCAGCGCGTAGCTGGCAGCAGTGAGCGGCTGCGATGACCACAGAACTATTGGGGGGACACGCCAGCACCTGTAGGCCCTGCTGCGAGGCCGATGGCGAGTGGAGTCCCAGCCGGGCACTCCCCAGGCTGTGGCCAGGCAGGAAGCCTCCCTGGGGCTTGTTTCCTCCTCTGTAAGGTGGGGTGAACAGTCCCTGCTCCCAGAGCCGGTGGGAGGAGGAAACGGACAACAGGTGCTCTCTGGCTCCTGGGAGGCCGAGCGCTGTGAGAGGCACCGATTTGTGGGCGACTTCGGACAAGTTGCCCTCGAGTTCTTCATCTACGAAATTAACTCCTTCTGCCCGTCGGGGCTCCCCGAAGACTAGAGGTGACACTGGGAAGTTCAGGAGAGATTGAACAAGCACCAGGCTCCCCCCACACTGGTCTCCACCCAGTGACTAATCAATTACTTTTCCCTGGGGAAGAGAAGCTTCTTGAAATTTCCCCTTTTCCTCCCCTCTCCCAGGCGTTTCTCCCGTCTCCAGACCCAGTCAGAGACCCGTTCACCTCAGCAGCTTAGTGACGGCTTTGAGTTTACCCTTCCCTCCTCACTGCCCTGTCCTCACTTTCCCCCAACCGTGTCCCCGCGGTTCCTGGGCTGCGGAGCAGAGAATCTGCATGTGGGCAGGGGTTGGGGGAATCTTGGGGAAACCCCACCTCTGACCACTTCCTTTCCAGTCCTCCATCCGTGCAAGCCGAGGGACCATTGGTGGCTACTTCCTGGCAGGGAGGTCCATGAGCTGGTGGCCGGTGAGTTACCTTCCTTCCTCCCCTCCTCCCACATCCAGGTCTTTGTTTCAGCTTCTCCCGCCTGGACCAAGTGAGTGCCTTCCAGCTCTGGGCATCTTCTCTCTAGTGCACACGCACCTGCCACCTGAGCGATCTTGCTAACAGACTCCTCAGACCAGCGTCCACGGGTGCCCCCCAACGGGCCGCAGGCGGGACCTGCAGAGATGACCCAGAATGCTCCTGCCACAGACACACCATCCTGAGCAGACAGGCTCTTAAGCAGCAGGACTGCTGCTGAGCTTGGGGTGGGGGGGGGGCGGGGAAGGGGCTTGTGGGCATTTGCAGGAAGCCTCAGGAAGCCTCCAGGCTCCAGACAGTGCACATGGGGTCAGCGAAGGTTTCCTCAGGAGGGTGACACATCAGCTTGCTATAGAAGAGCAGTTAAATGAGGGAAATCCTACACTATTTTCAAGGAGTTGAACCTGAGACCTTTGTGACCCAGTCTCTCCCCTCCTCCGTTTGACCTTCCTCCTCCCTGGGGGCCCACAGATCTGTGGCCTAATCAGTGGGTTAGCCCCCCACCCCCCACCATGTGGACTGGGCTCCCCATGGCCTTCCTTTTTTCCCACTTAGCTACTCACTCACAGCGGGGCCTGCTGCCAGCATCATTATCTTTCCTAACAGTAGTCCTTTTCTTTGTATATTGGAACAATTTTTAATATTCATACACCCAAATCTTTGTGGGTGTTAGGTATATTAGCACACATAAATTCCCTAGCACAGTCAGTGCCTGGCATACAGTAGGCACCCAACAAATGTCATTTCCACCCCTCTTTCTCTTTGCTCCCCCACTTCCTCTCCTCCCTCCGATCTCAGATTTCCTGAGTCCTGGTGCTGCTCTCCCCACCTCGTCCCCACTCCTGAAGATCAGGATCCTGACTCCAGATTGGTTCCAGTTAAAACTGACACCTTCTGCCTTGCAGATCGGAGCATCTCTGATGTCCAGCAACGTGGGCAGTGGCTTGTTCATCGGCCTGGCTGGGACAGGGGCTGCTGGAGGCCTCGCTGTGGGTGGCTTCGAATGGAACGTAAGAAAGCTGGCCTGGGGGCTTCTCAGGGACACTGTGGTTCTGAACCCACCCACCCCACCCCTGGCCTTAGCCCCGAGAGGAACCTCAAGTGTGCTTGGGGAGGCTGCATGGTGAATGGAGAACCCATTTTACAGATGAAGAAACCAAGGCCTGGAGGAGCTAGAGGGGCCATCAGAGGCTATACAGGACTGGGATCAGGTCCCAGCCCCTTACCTCTCAGCTGTCCTCTGCAAGGCACCACCTCTCCGTAGGGGGCCACCCCTACCTATGCATCCAGAACGTGGACACCCTCTTCTCCCCACTCTCCCAGGCAACCTGGCTGCTGCTGGCCCTCGGCTGGGTCTTCGTCCCTGTGTACATCGCAGCCGGTGTGGTCACAATGCCGCAGTACCTGCAGAAGCGGTTCGGGGGCCAGAGGATCCAGGTGTACATGTCTGTGCTGTCTCTCATCCTCTACATCTTCACCAAGATTTCGGTGAGGACCCACGCTAGTGTGGCCGTCCTGTCTCCCTGGAAATGCTGAGTACGGGCATGGGTGGATAGATGGAAGGATGGGTGGGTGAAGAAAGGATGACTCCATGTACCTCCAATGCATGTTCCCCCTCAGCAGAGGGTAATCAGAGGTGAACGAGAAATGTTTGCACAGTGAATGACAGTCCCTTCATCTGAAGACCAAATAATCTGGAGTTCATTAATTCATTCATTCCTCTCTCCATCAACTGATTCTTCATTCAGTGCCATGCATTAATTGCCTAGAATGTAACTGTTAAAAAGGTCCTTATTCTTTCTCTATGGACCTAACCTTAGAAAATAAACCTGTGTCACATGATGTGCCCAGAGGGGCAGCTCTGGGACTGAAACTAAACCTGGGGTCCTATGGCCAGTCCAGGTCCCCTGTCCTTTGCTGCATTGCAGCCCTGTGACAAGTCCATAAAATAGTTACTGGCAAGCAGGCACTGAGGGGAACTGGCTCACTCAGGTGCCAGGCCCAGGGCTAGGTACAATGATACTGCATCTTGTTCCACCAGTGCTTGTAAGCAGCCAAAGTCAGCTTAGGCAAAGGATGCGACCCCACCTCCTCTAATAAACCCAAACATGTGGGACATGCAGGAGCTGTGGTCACCTGCACCCGCCAGGGCAGCCCCGGGCCTGTCCAGCAGCTGAGTGGGCTCTGCTCTGTCAGGGAGCTGTTGGGGGCCCTCTGGGGCCCTTGTCTCCTCCCAAGTGGCCTCTTCTTCTCTGACACTAGCCCTCCGATTCACTTCCTCAGTCGTCCATGTCACCCCTCACCACACCCTCCTTGGCCAACGGGCTGTCCTGTCAGTGAGCCGGGTCTCCTCACTCTCGGTCTCCAAGTTGCGTGGGGTTCTCCTCTGCTTTGAAGTCTCACAGCAGCTCAACAAGATCAAGCCCATCCTCCTCAGGGCAGCACTTAAGGCTTGTTGTCATGTGACAAGGGCTGACAGCAGCGGGCACTGCTGAGCGGGGAGGGGACATGCCCTGGTGGCCACACTGGGTGACCCCCTGGTCCGGGTCTCTGCAGACTGACATCTTCTCTGGAGCCCTCTTCATCCAGATGGCCTTGGGCTGGAACCTCTACCTCTCCACAGTGATCTTGCTGGTGGTGACGGCTGTCTACACCATCGCAGGTAGGGCCAAGGGCAGGCCAGGTCTGGGTGCAGGCACCGGGAACGGAGGCCAGCGACAGGGAGAGGGAGAGAGGTGGAGAGAGGGAGAGGGAAGCTTCTGCCTGCGGAGACACAGAGGGAAGAGCTGGAGGAGAGGGACGTCCTGAGGGAGGGGCAGGGAGAAAACTGTCCTTCAGAGAGGACCAGAAAAAGGAAGAGCTGAGGGTGGAGACAGAGGATCAAAGGAAAACAGAGGAAAAGACTGAGAGACACAATGTAGCCGAGAAAGGGGGGACATGAAGGGCAGGAACAGGGGAAACAGAGCCAGCCAGAGAAAGACAAGGAAGGAGAGACCCTGAGAAACGCCTACTGTAACAGGAAGCAGGGTGGTGACGGGGGACCGCCATCTGGACCAGGGTCACTGTGGGCCACTTCAGACAAAGGCCACCAACCCGCCTTCCTCGGCCTTCTCCAGAGCACCCCACACAGGCCTGCGCATCCTGGGATGCGGGGCCAGGGCAGGCTTACTGGTGGCTCGGTCAGCCTGGACGGACGGGGGACTTAAGTGGGCATTCAGCTAGGGGCAGCAGGTGCTCCTGGTGGAGCTAACAGCTCACACAGGAACAGACTTGGGAAATGAAACAGCAAGTTAGGGCAGGGCAGCCGCAGGCAGAGGCTGCTGGGTGGAAAGGGCTGGGCCTGAGCACCTGACTGGGACCAGCCTCCACCCTGCAGGGGAGCATGCAGTGCAGGGAAAGGCAGGCGGGCAGAGTCCACCTGCTAAGAGGGCTCCATGTCTTCTCTGGTCCCCCCAGGGTGGCCACACGCAGGGCGGGCACCCAGAGAGGAAGCCCTGTCGGTGCTGACTGATGAGCCCTCTCCTTGGGTCCCCAGGGGGCCTCACGGCTGTGATCTACACAGACGCTCTGCAGACGGTCATCATGGTGGGGGGAGCCCTGGTCCTCATGTTTCTGGGTAAGGAGGAGAACTGCACACACCCCAGCTCTGCCCCTAAATCCCTCTCTCATCTGCCTTTGGCTGTCACCTCCGCAGTTTGGTCGGAACTTCCCAGGACACAGAGCCACACCCTGCTCCAGGCCAGGTGCCGCTTCTCTCTAGGCCAAACCAGGGAAGCCCCGCCTCCCTCCCGCATTTCCCAGTCCCACACCGGTTCCGAACCCAGGGACTCCACGCAGAACTGGGAGCTGGCGGGCCGGGGGGTGGGGGGGGGGCGGCACGTGACAGGCCCACTGGGGTCTGAGGGCTGTCTCACTCACTGCAGCCTCTCCCCGCAGGCTTCAAGGAGGTGGGCTGGTACCCAGGGCTGGAGCAGCGGTACAGACAGGCCATCCCTAACGTCACAGTCCCCAACACCACCTGCCACCTCCCCCGGCCCGATGCCTTCCACATGCTTCGGGACCCTGTGAGCGGGGACATCCCTTGGCCAGGCCTCATTTTCGGGCTCACGGTGCTGGCCACATGGTGCTGGTGCACGGACCAGGTAAGACCCCAGCCAGGCTTGGCCCCGCCCACCATGAGCTGGGCGCGGATTCTGCTTGCACAGAGGGCGGGGCCTGCTGTGGGACCACTGCAGGGGTGCAAGCAGCTACCTCCTCAGAGCCCACCTGTGACTGAGCCGGGCCTGGCCCGGCGCCAGCGCCTTGCCTCCACTGGTGCCTTTTCAGGTCATTGTGCAGAGGTCGCTCTCTGCCAAGAGTCTGTCCCACGCCAAGGGAGGCTCAGTGCTGGGGGGCTACCTGAAGATCCTGCCCATGTTCTTCATCGTCATGCCCGGCATGATCAGCCGCGCTCTGTACCCAGGTGAGAGCTGGCTCCCTCCTGGCAATGTTGGGATAGGGTATGCAGGGGTGGCGCAGCTTTTCACAAGACCATATAGTGGTATGTTAACCTCTGTGGGCCAAACAAATACATCTGAATGTCCTTTTAAAGTCCTGCTGTGGCCCTGACCAGGTAGTTCATTTGGTTTGAGTACTGTCCCCTTATGCCAAGGTTGTGGGTTGGATCAAGGTCAAGGCACATGCTAAAATCAACCAATGAATGCATCAGTAAGTAGACTGATGTTTCTCATTCTCTCCCTTCTTTTCTTTCTAAAATTAATAAATAGAAATAAAAAAGAACAAAATCTGACTTTCTCTTTATAAGGGAAAGAGCAGTTAAGGCATTTGTGATGCCTTCCAAGGATATCTGCCTTTCTCAGGATATAATGCCTAAAACTCAAACCAGGCTCTCAGCCAGGCCAGGTAGTATATGGCAGAGAAATGTTCCAGCGAGAGCTACACCATGTGCCCAGACAGAGTCTGGCCCGACTGCCCAGCCCTGCCAGAGTCAGCAGTGAGCACTCCCCTGTGGGGGCGGAAAGCAAATGCTGGGCCAACCCAAGAAGGCAGAGGACGGTTCAGCTCTAAGTGCCACCACTTCTTCTGCAGATGAGGTGGGCTGCGTGGACCCCGACATCTGCCAGAGAATCTGTGGGGCCCGCGTGGGCTGTTCCAACATCGCCTACCCCAAGCTGGTCATTGCTCTCATGCCCGTTGGTGAGTCCTGTGTCCCCCACACCCCCTGCCCCTCCTACCTCCCGGCCACCTCCAGTCCCACTGTCCAGGAAGGGCTGCATCAAAGACAGACATGGGGGAAGAGGGAATAAAAGCATTCTCTTCCCTACCCGTCCCAGTGTGCACGTGCATGCACACGCACACGCACACACTTTCACAGGCATGTATAAAGCACCGCTCTGTGCCCTGGCCCTGCTGCGCAGGATAGAGGGCAGGCCCTTGCACTCGGGCTCTGGGCTGACTCCAGGACTCAGGCCGGCAGAGGCCACCATACAAGGTGACCAGTGTGGGGACACAGGGGGTGCCGAGGGAGCCCTGAGGAGGCACCTGGCCCACTCTGGAGGAGTGTTGGGGATGGTTCCTCAGGGGACAGGACATGGAGCTGAGTCCTGAGGAGCATCTTCGGCAGACAAAGCTGGAGGGTGTGGGAAATGTCACCCAGGCAGCAGGGGCTGCCGGTGCTGAGGCCCAGGGCTGGGAAAGCATGAGTCTGAGCTGAAGGTGGCCCCGTGTGGGCTCACACACAGCAGGACTGAGGACAGCCATTGTGGAGAAGGGGTGGTGGTCACACCTTGTTCTGGAGGATCACCTTTACCTGAGGGCCATGGATGGGTGCTGGGGGTTTGAGGCCAGGGTGCATGATTGGGCTTGAGCTTTAGAAGGACCCATCTGCCTGGAGGGCTCAGCTCAGGGGCAGGCAGGCAGGTGAGTGACAAAAGATTGGCAGTGGTCGGGGGAGGAGCAGTGATGGTGGCTTGGACCAGGTCAGTGGCCTTAGAGACGGAGAAAAGAGGTTTAAAAGGTACTGATGAGGTGGAACCAACAGGACTCAATGACATTATATTTGAGGAATGAGAAAGACAGCAGGATCCAAAGAGATCTCTGGGTCTTGGGTTTAGGAAGCTATTGAATTTGAGCATAGAAAGAAAGGCAGGTTTATGAAGGGAAGTTGATGACTTGAGTTGACCCCCCCACACCCCCTCCTGCCTCAGTAGAATAGGAAATGAATCAAAGTAACAGTGGAGGTGGAGGAGGGGAGGCCCAGCTATGACAGAGCAGCCACAGAGGGAGGTGGGGAGGGCAGCTGAGGAGAGGTCTAGGGTACCTCTGAGGACACCGGTATAGAGACTAGAAAGACATTATTAACCAAACAAAGGACAGGGAAGGCCCTGGAGGAAGATGCTGGCCTGGGCTGGTGACACCTTGAGCCTTCCAAGGAGACATGCAGGAGGTGGTTAAATATGTGGACAGGGGCCCTGGCCAGTCACTCAGTGGTTAGAACATTGTCCCCACAGGCCAAGGGTGCGGGTCAATCTTCAGTCAGGGCATGGGCAAGAATTGACCAATAAATGCACAAATAGTGGAACAACAAATCAGGGCTTCTCTCTCCTTCTAAAATCAATAAATAACTTTAAAATTACAGAACAGATTTGGACTAGAGGTGGGAAAAGGATAGAGGTGGGACCGGTGGGGAGTCCTCCCCTCCCCCTCCAGGGCGAGCAGACACTCTGTAGAGGCTTGGTCATTGGAGTCAGAGACTTCAGGGATGAGTGGGGCTCGTCCTCTCTTGCTACAGGAGGAAAAATTGTCCCCCAAAGGAAGGGCTCAGTTCAAAGATCACACAGCTGGTTACGTACTTGCAGAACCAGGAAACAAATCTGGGCTTTCTGCTCTCCAGACCAGGGTTTTGCCCGGCAGGAATATCAGTGAAAAAAGGAACACAGTTAAAACAATTATTAACAATCACCCTCCCCCTACCAGTGACCCACTAGCCAAGTGTCTACAAGCTCTGAAACCCAGACTGAGGTGTCAGGGCTGCAGAGAACCTTAAAGATCAACTAGTCTCACAGCACTGAATGGTGTACCTTAGGCTCAGGGAGGGCAGAAGGCTCACCCAGGGCCACCAAGCAAGGAAGACAGAGTACGGTCAGGACTGAGCGGCCAGTCCAGTGTTCCTTACCTGCGTGGGTTGCGAACCTCACCCATCACCTTCCCCATCCCAGTTCCACCCCAGACTCACTACCCTACTGGGTGCTGCAACCTCCGTGGTCCCTGGCAGAGCCTAAATGGCCAGCCAGTTGTCCATGGAGACGTCGTCTCTCCCCAGGTCTGCGGGGTCTGATGATCGCCGTGATCATGGCCGCCCTCATGAGCTCGCTCACCTCCATCTTCAACAGCAGCAGCACCCTGTTTGCCATCGACGTGTGGCAGCGCTTCCGCAGGAAGGCAACGGAGCAGGAGCTGATGGTGGTGGGCAGGTGTGTTAGCCCACCCTCCTCGGGGCCACCTTCCTGTAGGCAGACCCCTCTCCCCCTCCCTTCTGCCTGGGTTGCCCTGGGGAGAGGTGGCCGGGTCTGGGCCTCTGCCTGGCCAGCAGAGCTCCTGGTTCTAGCACCACTGTCCTATAAGACCTCAGGTAAGTATCCCCCTGCCATCTACACCCCCACCCCTACCCACCACCCCTCTGCAGCTCTGCACCACTCCTCCTGCTCCAGAAAAGGAGAAAAAAAATCTCTTCCCCACCTGTTCTGCCTCCTCTTGAAATTGATCGAAGGGGTAAATGAGAACATCTGACAAAGCACCAAAACAATGAAAAGTGAACCATGTCAGTGGGTGGAAGTTAGCAACTCACATGCCCCATGGTCTTTCAGACCAGCTGTTACCCTGGGGGTAACAGAAGTGCTATTAACGGACTCCATCCCTCTCACTCTGAGGTCCTCCTGGCATCACACCTTTGTGCTGGGGACACCCTGCCTTGAGGGTATGCAGGGTTTGATGAGAAGGGCAGAAGCACAGGTGACAGTGAGGGACGTGCACTGGCAAAGATGTTTATTGGGAGTTTGTCTCCAAAGGATGCAGAGTCTCAAACACCAGGCTAAAGAATTTGAACTTTACCTCGTAGGTGCTGGTTTTATGCTCTTCAGAGTATAAGTGGGTGGCTAATTGTTCTTTTTCTCCCTGAGGCTGGCATGTTTGTAGTTTTCATAGGCTTACAGGCCTTTTCTGAAATCTTTGCTTCATAATTTAAGGCTCTATAACTCAGGTTTCTGGACTAATGTGTCCATTCTCCCCTTTGGATACCTTGTACTTGAGTTTAGATAACTTGCTTTTTCCCATCTCCCTGCCTCTGCATGCACTGTCGCTCCCCCCACAGTGCCTTCTGCCCACGGCAGCCCAGTAGACCCACTGCCTGCTCATAGGGGCACCCAGCCCTACACACAGGGACTGGAAGGATCGGTACTCGGGACAGAGTGTGCAAAGAGGCGAGGCTAAGTGAGAGGGAGGCCACTTGGGCAGCTGCTGCTTTCGTGGGGCCTGAGAGAAAATGGGAGGGAGAGGAAAGGAGAGGCTGGTGTGCCAGGGCATTTCTAAAAGACATTTAGAAATCCTGTGACATTTGCACACTGAACTGCCAGCCAGCGGTGTCCAACCTTTTGGTGTCTCTGGAACACATTGGAAGAAGAAAGGTTGCCTTGGGCCACACATTAAATACATTGCAACATGTAATCATGCACCCCCCCAAAAAATCTCATAATGTGTTAAGTAAATTTACGATTTTGTGTTGGGCTGCATGAGACCCTGGGTTGCAGGTTGAACACCCCTGTACAAGTGGGGTTTTGGTGCCATCTGCTGACCAAAAGCATTATTGCATCCAGCACCTGCAAAAAAGTTTTTCATCATCCTGATCGCACACCTGCAAAATCATACATAGAAAGCGTTTTGGGGACCTGGGCCTGAGCCAGAATCGTTGAGGGGGAGTCAGGATGTGAGGGTGCAGTCTCTTCTCTGAGCTAAATGACAATGTAAGGGAGAGAGGCTTAGAGCGGAGAAGCCTAGAGAAGGGAGAGTGCCTGGAGCCCGGAGCCATGGTGGAGAAGGGGGCTGCCTTGTACCGAGTTTGGGTGAGAAAGAGGAAGAAAGGCATCCCAAGCAAAGACCAGAGGCCACCTGCCTGGGTGGGTGGTGGGGCGAGAGGTATGGGTTCCCTTCTGGAGGCAGGTGGGCTATATGACCTCAAAGGCATCTGATTCAAAGATCCTTGGTCTCTTAGATTCTGGAGTTCTGGGATTTTAAGAGTTTAAAATTCTGGATTTTAGCACTTGGGATTCCAGTCCTGACATTCTCTGACTCAGGGCCATGCATCTACTCCCTCTCCCCTGTTCCCAAGCATCCCCTGCACCCCACCCCATGCCCTGCCACCCCACCCCATGCCCTGCCACTCTGAGCATACCTCATGGCACCCTGTGCCCTCCTGGCAGAGTGTTTGTGGTGTTCCTGGTCGTCATCAGCATCCTCTGGATCCCCATCATCCAGAGCTCCAACAGCGGCCAGCTCTTCGACTATATCCAGTCTGTCACCAGCTACCTGGCCCCGCCTATCACTGCCCTGTTCCTGCTGGCCATCTTCTGCAAGAGGGTCACAGAGCCTGTGAGTACAGCAGGTCACCACAGGGTCAGGAGAACGGGTCTGGCCATAACCTGGTCTCTCTCCCTGACCCTGACAAGCCAACTGCCCCCTCCCTACCCATAGCATCAGGTCTAGAGTCATTCACCTGCTCAACAGACATCCATCCGCCTTATTGTGAAGGTGTGGGGTGTGTGGTTTACAAGGTCCACACAGGCCGGCCATCACGGGGCCAGCGCCTGCTGTTTGTGGAGGTCCACTCTCCCTGCCAGTGATGACGGTCACAGCAAAACTCCACTGAACTCTGGACGTTTCTGCTCATTGCAGAAGTTTTGAAATTGGGACTAGCATCTCAATTTAAAAAACTCCAAGTCATCTGACTCTTACATATAGGGAACAGGCATAGTTGGGGTTGAACAGGGCTATAAAGAAGGCATGAAAGGTGCCAGAGCTTTTCATTTGTTAAAAAAGACAGAAGACAAGAAAAATAAAAGTAGCAAAAGGGAGATGTCTACACTGATTTATGATTTATCATAACAGGAAGTGGGGAACGGGGATCCTGGCACTTATACAAGATCATATTCCATTCCAGTTGAATATTAAACTCCTCTACTTAGTACTTATGAATTTCTCCCATCAGGGCACCCGAGGAAAGTGTGGCTCAGCGAGGTTAGGTCCCTGCGTCAGTTACTCTGGAACGGAGCCAGGGTCCGAACCCCGGTCTGTCTGACTCTGGAGCCCGTGTCATGTCCAGTACCCTGCTCTGCCTGCCTTTACGTCAAGACAAAACCTCAGCATTAATCGGGAATTCACTCCGATGGATGTGCAAACACTGTAACCAGCCAGGGGAGAGAGGTTTGAAGGCAGAGTGACTTTTAGCTTCCCAGGGTCTCCCACCTGGATCTCTCCCCCACCTGTTCTGTCCTCTCTCCACAGGGAGCCTTCTGGGGGCTCATGTTCGGCCTGGTGGTGGGGCTTGTGCGCATGATCTTGGAGTTCTGCTACCCCGCCCCAGCCTGTGGGGAGGTGGACCAGAGGCCAGCCGTGCTCAAGGACTTCCACTACCTCTACTTTGCCCTCGTCCTCTGCGGGCTCACTGCCATCGTCATCGTCACTGTCAGCCTCTGTACAACCCCCGTCCCTGAGGAAAAGGCAAGTGGACTGCTCAGGCCAAGGGGCCCCCAGGCTGCCCCCTCCTCCCAGGCCTGGAATCCCACCACCGAGTTCTGCTCCACTGAGTTATGGTCCCGCCTGTGGCCACACAGATGTCCCAGGGAGGGGGCCTCATTGGGTTATTAATTCCCAACCGAAGAGTAATTCATTCCATTAGAAAATAACTCAGTGAGCACCTACTATGTGCCGGGGTTACAGAGATGAGGCTTAGCGGGGCCAGCACAGCTGGGTGCCCCATGGACAGTGTCTCAGGAGAGGGGCCAGCCCTGCCCTGCTGTGCACATTTGTGGGAGGTCAGTGTCAGGGCAGCGGTTCCTGGTTGAACATGTAACGGAGAGCTGCCTGGCCAGGAGGGCAGCCTCATTGGAAAGGAGCTCAGGTCCTCGCAGTCGGGCCCCACTGATGTCAGCCAGAGAACCTGCCACGTTCTCCTCTCCTGAGCCACCACAAAGGGAGTGGCAGGAAAGCCACAGGGCCGTCCAGGTACACAGGTGTGCTTCTCCTCACCTGGACGTCTGCACCTGGAGGCCCTACAGACTCTTCAAACTCATCATTGTGTGTGTGTCTGAGCCATTTCTTTCTCTCTCTCACACACACACACGCACACACTCATGCACACACACAAATTCATTCCTGCTCCTGACCACTCTCTCTGGGGCAGGGGGCACCACTAACTGCCTGATGGTCCAAGGCAGGAGCCTGAGACCACATTACCACTTCCATCTCCCTTGCCCAGCTCACTCCGACAGTCCCCATGGCCTGGAGGCCTTACTCCTTAACATTCCACAATGACTGCTCCCTCTGCCGCCCCAGGCGCGCTTTATTTCTTGCTTCACTTTTGCAACAGCCTCCCAGCTGGGTCCCTTCAATTCACTCTGAGGGATCTTTCTAAATCCCAAGACTTAGCTTTTCTTCCCAGTTCCCAAAGTCTGTAGTGACTCTCCATTGCATTGTTTTTATGAGAGATATCAGATCCTCAGTCTGACCATGGAAGCCCTTTGTCATGGTGCCTGCCTCCCTGATGGCTTCTTTTCTCCCCATCTGTGAGCTCGTGAGGTCAGGGGCCGTCCTGCCTCGATGTGTTTTCCAGTCTCGGCATGCCCTCACGCCTCCCACAATGGGCCCTCTGTCTCTACAGCACGACTTCCCTCCAGAGGTAACTGAGCAAGACAGCGTTTGTTTTCTTTCCCTCCAGCTCTCTCGCCTGACGTGGTGGACACGGAACCATCCAGCTGAGCTAGAGAAGGAAGCCCATGAGGACACACCAGGGAAAGTGGAGATCCCACCTGGGGAGCCCCCTGCAGGAGGCAGAGAGGCAGACCACTGCAGCCAGGGCCCGGAGCAGCAGCCTGGAGGTAGGCTGAGGGTGTGCTGGGGGTGCGCACCCCGGGGGACTGATGGGGACAGACACTGGGCCCTAGGTCCCCAAAGACCCCATTTGGGGATCATTGGGAATGGAGTCTCTATAGGAGTCCAAAGATATCCTTCCTCCCTTCCCATGTGGCTATGAACTATTTGAGGAATAAGACAAACAATAAGGCTGAGGGGAGTCAAAATATTGCCCTCATTACTGGTAAAATGTAGGTGGAAAGATGTGGTTTAGATCCATGGGGAGGTACAGTTCCTAATCCTGAACTCCAGCATTAGTCGGAGGGAACCACAGTCGCCTCCCCTGTGAGCACTGCACTGCCAAGGAGGAGGAGGAGGGGGCAGGGAGGGACTGAGCCAAGCATGCCCTCTTCATCCTCCTCAGATCTACAATAGGGAAGTCCCCTCACCTCTCCTGGGTTGAATGAACCTAAGGACAGAAAATCACAGGGTGATACACTAATTGAGCTCCATCCACATGCAAGGAAACATCAGCTGTGGCGAAGAAACAGCCCCCCACCCACACATGCATTTTATTATTTATTCCCCACTGGGCTTAATTACCTGCCTAGAGTCACACAAAAGCCAGGCCATCCTTCCCAGAAAGAGAGCAGGTGTGTCCATACGGTGCTGTCTGTGTTCATGAGGTTCCTCCAGAGCTACCACCCTTCCCAGGGGTACCCCCCAGGGCTGCTCAGGGGCTATATGAATGTTGCCTCTGGAGGTTCTCAAATGCGTTAGAGTATGAATTAAATGTACTCCAAGACCACACAGTATCTAAAGTTGACATAGACATGATGTAGCTGTTTTAGATGTAATGCACTTATAACCTCCCTCTATGTGATTAAATAATAATGTTAAGATATTCGGATTTCATAACATCATAGAGAATTCCCAAAGTATGAAATTCCCAAGGAAAGATTGATGTTAAAAATGGTAAATCAATTTGCAATTTAATGCCCCAAATCAATTTCTCTTGCCCTTGTGAGTTAAAACTTTAGTGAAATGTAAGTCCTAAGTTTACTTCCTGCCTCTGGCAGAAGGAGCCCCAGTGCCCAGGTGGAGCTGGGGTGCCTTCAGATACTGCCCCCTCCCATTGGGTTGGACAGAGCTCCATCAGGGCCTCAGAAAGTGTCTTCGTTCCATCTCTGTCATCTGGTGGGCTAAACCCCTAATACTCCAGCAGATTTAAACCTTAGATAAGGTTATCCAGGCACTGGTTATTGGACCCCACAGCTGGCAGCTGCACCACTCAGCTCCACGTCTTTGCCAGGTGCTGGGAGCCCGGTGCTTCCCCCAGGGCTGAGATGCCTCCTACCTTTCTTGAGCCTTTCTCCTTTGCTTTGGGTTCTGACTCCAGAGAAACAACCACTGGCCCAGAGGTAATGACACCATAAACTCTAGAATATGAGCTCCACCAATATCTAAGACTCCAAGCTTCTTGACCTGTTTGCACAGGGAAAAGCCAGTGGTCCACTATATACATGAAATTCATAATGGGGAATATAATCTTTTATAAAGTCCCAGGGCCCACTTCAGAAAGCACCAACAGGACTTCTGATCAAGGTGGAGGCGTAGGTACACTTTGCCTCTTCTCATAAGCAAAAGAAGGACAACAACAAATTTAAAAACAAAAAATAACCAGAACTGCCTGAAAGTCGAACTGTATGGAAGTCCAAGAACCAAGGAGTTAAAGATGAAACATTCATCCGGACCAGTAGGAGGGGCAGGGAGGGGACGCTGGGATGGTGAGGACTCATAGCAAGGCAGCAGCTGGCAGAGCAGGTGGTCCCACATTTGTGTTCAGGTAAGCCAGGAGGAACAACTGAGGAGCAACACAGACTGCACTGCAACTCAGGTTTCCAGTGTGGGGAAATGAAGCCTCAAAACCTCCAACACTAAAAACCTGTGGGGGTTGAGGTGGCAGGAGAAACTCCCAGCCTCACAGTAGAGTTCACTGGAGAGACCCACAGTATCCTAAAATGTGCACAAAACCACCCACCTGGCAATCAGCAACAGAAGGGCCCAATTTGTTTGTGGGTAGTGGAGGAAGTGACTGAAAGCTGACCAAGAGCTGAGCAAGTGGCATTGTTCCCTCTTAGACTCCTCCCCCACACAGGCACCATAGCACAACAACCTGGGTTGCAGTACTCTGGCAAATACCTAAGGCTCCGCCCCTTACTACATAACAGGTGTGCCAAGACAAAGAAATATGGCCCAAATGAAAGAAAAAATCAAAGCTCCAGAAAAAATACAACTAAGTGATGAAAAGATAGCCTACCTATCAGATGCAGGGTTCAAAACACTGTAATCAGGATGATTACAGAAATGGTTGAGTACAGTCACAAAATAGAAGAAAAAGTAAAGGCTATGAAAAGTGAAATAAAGGAAAATGTACAGGGAACCAACAGTGAAGGGAAGGAAACCGGAACTCAACTCAACAGTTTGGACCAGAAGGAAGAAATAAACATTCAACCAGAACAGAATGAAGAAACAAGAATTTTTTTAAAATGAGGAGAGGCTTAGGAACCTCTGGAAAAACTTTAAACATTCCAACTTCCAAATCATAGTGGTGTTAGCAGGAGAAGAAGAAGAGCAAGAAACTGAAAACTTATTTGAAAAAATAATTAGAGAAAACTTCCCCAATGTGGCAAAGGAAATAGACTTCCATGAAGTCCAGGAAGCTCAGAGTCTCAAAAACACTGGACCCAAAACAAGGAAGCACACACCAAGGCACATTCATAATTACATTACCCAAGATTAAAGATATGGAGAGAATCTTAAAAGCAGCAAGAGAAAAGGAGAGAGTTACTTACAAAGGAGTGCCAATAAGACTATCAGCTGATATCTCAAAAGAAACCTTACAGGCAAGAAGGGGCTGGAAAGAAGTATTCAAAGTGATGAAAGGCAAGGACCTACAACCAAGATGACTCTATCCAGCAAAGCTATCATTTAGAATGGAAAGGCAGAAAAAGTGCTTCTCAGATAAGGTCAGGTTAAAGGAGTTCATCATCACCCAGCCATTATTATATGGAATGTTAAAGGGATTTATCAAAGAAAAGAATCTAAAAAAAAATAAAAACAAAAATAAAACCGAACTAAGTGAACAACTAGAACAGGAACAGATTCACAGAAACAGAGATCACATGGGGGGTTATCAGCAGGGAGTGAGAGGGGGAGAATGGGGAAAAAAGTAGAGGGAATAAGCAGCATAAATGGTAGATACAAAACAGACAGGGGGAGGTTAAGAATAGTATGGGAAATGGAGAAGCCAAAGAGCTAATATGTACAACCCATGGACATGAACTAAGGTGGGGGAATGATGGTGGGAGGTGGGGTACAGGATGGAGGGGAATAAAGTGGAGAAAAAATGGGACAACTGTAATAGCACAATCAATAAAATATATTTTTTAAGAAAAGAAAGCACCAACGAAGCTCAAAGTCACCAGCCTTAGTCTAATCAGTTGCCCTAATTTTGCTTTGCAAAATGTAACTCCTTACTTCTTGTTTGAACTTTGTGGTCCATGTACCAGATGCTGGGGCTCAAAACTGCTTTTCACCCCATGATAGCAAGGACCTGGTCCTGGTCCCTGTAAAAACTTACAGGGTGGAAGAAGCAATCTGAGAGCAATCTGCAGGTCTTTGCAGGTGAGGCAGCTACTGAGGGAGAGGAAAGAGCAAGGGAAGAAGCTGCAAAGACAGCTCCCAACCTGAAGCAGGGAGGGCACGGCTTATACTCTCCGCGGCCAAGCCTCAGGACCAGACAGACTTACAGGGTCATGGCTGTCCTTCCTGGTGGCCCCCATGTCAAGGGCAGAGCCTGTCTCTGGAGAATCTAGGAAATGACTTTCCCTGTGGGTGGCTTGTGCCCAAAAGGGACATAGGAGACACTGAGTCAGCCAAGTTCAATGAGGGAAATCCCTCCCAACCACGAGGAGACGGAAAGGGCAGGGAGAGTACTATAATATGCAAGAGCCCCTTTCCTGCCAAGGGCAACACCGGGAATGGGGCAGAAGCACCTGTCTCTCAAAAGGCGGCAGGTGGATGAAGCCTCATTTGTGCTGTACTCAGTTAAAAAGCAAAATGACAGTGTGCTTTTGAGTACTGCAAAAAGGAAGTTCACAATGAATTTAAGGACATCAGAGCAGATCTGAAAGAAGTATATACATCCCAAGCTGTAGACAGGTTTAGGTTCATTGATACACCCCAGGCTGTCCATAGGTTTAGGTTTATTGAGTCATTGCTCATTAATAACTGCCAAAGTGACTCAGAAGAGAGAGCTGGGACCGCTTGCGGGAAGATAAAGCTTTGTGCAGTCGAAGACCTGAAGTCATCTTACTGCTCTTCAAGCAGGTCTGTGGCTCTGGGACTTTTGGAAGTTGCTTCCTCTCTCTGAACCTTTCCCTCCTCTGCACAGTGGAGAAGCCAGACCAGGGGCACCCCGGTGTCTGCATCCCTGAGACCAGACAGGTGTCTGCATCCCTGAGACCGGACAGTCGCACTGAACTCACCAAGTGCCAAGTCCCAAAGCCATTAAGATAATGAAGCATTTCCAATGGGCTGTATGCAACTTCAGTGAAAGGACTTTTACTGGCATTTTATTTTAATATACTACTAATAGTAAAAAAAAAAAAAACTTTACAAGTATTTACTTTATTTGTTCTTTTAAACTTAGTCTTTAATGAATTGTACTCCTTTTTAACCTCAGGGTGAGCCCCTTCTCCACTCTGGGGACCTGTGTCTGCACTGCAGTCTCGTGCACCTCACTGCTCCAGCGCTGTACCTTGGTAGAGTGCTGTCAAATTTGTGTTCTCATTTGATGAACAAACCACCTGCAGACAGGACATACTCCATTAACGTATTTGGGAGGGAAAGACCCCACAGCTCAGAGAGGTTGCGTGATTTGCATATGGCCTCAGTCAGGCACTGACTTGGCCAGAGGGCGGAGCTGACCCTGGAATGCAGCTTCCAGCCCAATGCCCTTCCCATAGCAGAGATCACATCAGTCTGCCTGGCCCAGCTGCTGCCTCCCTCCTGGGTGGGCTAGTGTTCCCCACTGCGTCCTCACGGGGGCATGTGATCTGAATTGGGTTGAACAGCATTATACACACCTCCTCACCTGCACCATGGAGAAGCGTCTGCTCCATGGCTGTTTGGAGGCTGCGGCTGGGGTCAGAGCTCAGAGTAGAGGCCCAGCTCAGCACCCAGTCTGTGGCTAAGTTGATTGTCCCACATCCCCCCTCTCCGTGCACTTCCTCCCTGTTTGGTTTCTCACCATCTCTCTCCCTTTCCGGCTCCCTCATCACTCTCCTTTCTGACTTTGCCTTGCCCCTCCCCTCCTACTTCCCTCCTCCTTCTGGCTTTTGTCTCTCAGCCCCACGCAGATCCTGGGGAAAGCTGCTCTGGGGCTGGTTGTGTGGGCTCTCCGGGGCCCCGCAGCGAGCCCTGAGCCCAGCAGAGAAGGCCGCACTAGAGCAGAAGCTGACCAGCATTGAGGAGGAGCCACTCTGGAGAAGTGTCTGCAACGTCAATGCTGTCCTCCTGCTGGCCATCAATGTCTTCCTCTGGGGCTATTTCGCATGACTCCGCAGACCCAGCTTCAGCTGAGACAGAGGAAACACAGCCCCAGCCTGGCCAGCCACAGACACTGGCTTTCCTTTCACCTTGCTGTCCGAACTGGAGACCCCAGAGGCTGAGGCTGCAAGAGTGCCTGCAGAGCCCCTCATCCAGCCTGTGCCCTTGACTGGTGGTGAAACAGAGGCCCAGAGAGAGCGCTGGGCCTGCCCAGGACCACATAGCAGGATTCACACTGGCCTCCTGACTCCAGCTCTCCTCCCATTACATTGCCTTAAAGTCCTACCTCAAAAATGCTGTTTTCACCTTCTTGGTGAGTTTGCTCAGGAGCATTTACTCAATGTGTGTCTTGAAATTAAAAAGTGGATGATACAAGCAAAGGAATAGCAGGCAAGTTGTAGAAATCCACATGCATCTTTGCTCACCCATACCCCTCCCTTCTCCCCCTTTTGCCCTCGCTCTACATCCCTCATTCCCAATCCCTGTCAACTGTTTTTAGCAGGCATCTACTTGAAGGACTTCAAGCTCCAGTTGGTGGCTCCACACTGTGACTGTCACACCCAAAGGGGGGGGGGAGTTAGCACGGTGACAGATTGTTTGGGGCAGGGAACACAGGGATAAAGGACTCTCCTTGGCACCACTCAAATCTGTCTCTTCTTTCTCTGACATCCAAACACGAGCCAATCTCCATGGCCTTGAGGAGCTGGGAGTCCAGCTGGACAGACGGGACTTGTTGAAAACAGGAGGGACTGATCCAGGCTGCTCTGCTTCGAGTAAGCCCTGCAGAAGGTCTGCACAGGCCACCGAGGAGCCGCTGCAGCTGGGCCTGTGCCCCGCCCTCTGCCTTTGCCTGCAGGGAGCTCCTGCCCTGGAAAACACCACGCCCCTGCTTAGCCACCCCTCCTCCAAGAAGCTGCCTGATGCCCCAAACTGGGTCAAGGTCCCACTCCTGCTCCTACACCCTCTGGACTTGCTTCTGTGGCAGCTCCGATCACTGTACTGTGATGTTTATCTCCTGGCTAGACTGAGTCCTCCAAGGGGCAGGAATCAAGGCCCAAGTGACTTTGTACCCAGAGAGGAGCAGGTGCCTGATAAATGTTGAATTAGCAATTCTCCAAGGCCACATAGGCTGTGCTCTGTGGCTGGCTGGGTTGCGACTTGGGGAGCCTGCTGGTGGGGAGGACTGTCCTTCAGCTGGAGTTCACACACTGAGTCTCAGGTGGCTGGAGGGGAACCACCGTCCCACCCACCCTCTGGCCTGACGCAGATGAGGTGTCCCTTCCTTTATCTAGCTCCCTGTCTGGGCCACCCCTGGTCTTGCCAGATCCACTATAATGCTGCCCTCGATCACCATTTATACTAATCAATCATCACAATTAAATACAAATAAAATTCTAGTTCTCTGAGGTTTCAATACAGCTGACTGATTCTATGACTACCTGCTGTCGCTGCTGCCTCCAAACTCGTGTCCGCAGACCCTTCGACCTCACCCATGTCACCTCACACGGTGATGCGGGTCCTGGCCTGCAGGGACCGTGTGTGTTGTGGCTGCTAGTGAACACATACACACGGATAACAGAAGTCCTTTGGAGAGAAAGGGACAGCATGGCCACTCTCTGAAGGATAGGGTGAGAGGCCAGAAGCCCCCACCTGGACAGTCTTTTATTGTTTTTCTGGGCACATTATATGATGGTCCTCATTTTCTACGCACAGGTTTGCTGCAGGTGATTACCTTTTACAGATAACAAAGAATGCTGCTAATTACTTCAAAGAGAAGGATGTTGCAGACCAAGGGGAAAAGTGGTTGAACTGGTTACACTCCATACTTGGGAGGTTTAGCTCAGATTTTAGGAAGGTGCAGTGAGCCCTTGCTGCCTCAATTCAGGGTGAGGGAGTTTTAGCAAAGGCAAGCCTCATAGCAGCCTAGGTGCAATGCAGGCCTGATTCCCCAAGGGAAAACCTCTCTGTGGGCATGGTCCTATGTGCCACTCGCTCCCCACTGGTTTTCCACATGGAGGCTGAGCTACATTTCCATGCCATGCAAAGCCGTTCCCTACAACATGGCTGTGCTTGCTGTCCCCACCCTGCCCAGGAACTCACTCTCTGCCCTGATTTCCCCCAAACCACAAGTTTTTATGATTATACTGAAGTTTTGGGGAGGGGAGAATTCTAAATCACAGAAGCACAATTTAGAATTAAATATTGAACATCCCTGTTTTCAAAAGCTCTTCAGTGGGCTGCCATGAGAATTCCCACAGGTCTTCTCTGCCTCTATCCTCCTGCTGCCTGCGTGGTTTTGAGTCCCCTCCCCCTGCAGAGCCTCTCACTGCTCCCCAGCCCCCCATTGGGAGGTCCCCTCCCCCATTTCCCACTCTCTTTGTCGTGTTCTCCTCTGGGCTCCAGACTTACCTCCTCTAACATGAGCATGCTATTAGCCACAGCAAGACTGCCGCAAGGGGGTTGCTGTCCTTCTCTACCCTCTTTGCCTGGTTAATTCCTACTCATTCCTCACCCCTTAGCACAAAGTCATGTGCATCTTTATCATTTCTGTGATGACCTTACCACAGCCACCTGCACCCCAGAGCGGGTAAGTCCCAGCACCCAACATGTAACCTCATGGTCCCCTGAATCTACCTTCAAAAAAAATGTTGGAATAAGCTGTATACTTATTTCATGAATACTCAGCTTGTCTCCTAGATTGGAAGTGCCCCTACTGAGTCCCCATCACCTAGGACGGTACCTGACACTTGGTGGGTGCTAAGAAGTATGTACCAATAAGTGAACAAATGAATAAGTGAATGAGTGAAAATGCATTCTTAATGGAGAGAAAACCCACAGGAAAAATTGTAACACAATCAGGAAGCGAGAAGTAGTTTAAAACACCTGGACTGGAGGGTCACATGGCCAGGGCCACGGCCGGCCCATCCATCTTCTTTGTGTGAGTGAGAAAAAGGCGCCCTTCCTTCTTGGTGTGGCACTCCTCAGCAGGGCACACCGGTGGCAGCCGGAGCTCAGGTGCATTTGTGCAGGGAACCACCAGCACCCCGGGAGCGGCAGCCCTGCCGTGTTGGAGACTGGCTGCAGCCAGGGCTGGGAGGTCAGCAGGGTTAGCTCAGGGACGAGGTTCCATGCTAAACTCGGGACGTCCTCGTCTGGTACCCGGATTGGTGCTCCAGTCTCTTGGCTGTTATCTCTGTTCTCAGTTCTCCTCTTCCAATTCACCCGATGCCCGATGTCGAGAGCGATCTTTGTAACCGCACACCTTGGGTCATCTACCTGTTTAAGGTTCCCTACAGGGGCTGTTTCCCAGCCTGGCATGAGACCCTGCCAGAAAGGGCCCCAGGGTCAGTCCTTGGGCCCGCTTCTGGACCCCAGCCACAAAGAGGCTGTTCTCTGTGGTGGTTAAGAGCAGGGATTTGGAAACCTGAACCTCCGAAACCCAGTCTTAGCTCTGCCACTTGCCAACTGTAGCTTAACCTCTCAGTCTCCATCCTGCACAGTGGAGCTGGTAATTGAAGCTACGTCATAGAGTTGAGGGGATTAAATGAGTTATTCACATAACATATTTAAAACAGTACCTGGCCATAATTAAAGTGCTCAATAGACAGTAGCTGTATTACTACCCTTAGTAGCAGGGGAGGTGGGCACACAAGGAGGCATGGCCAGCACACATGCTGTCAGAGCGAAGGGGGTGGGGGAGAGACTCGTTTATCCTGAGGCGTCAGAAAGTTCATATTGGGAGCTGGACTTTGGAGGATGAACAGGAGTTTTCCAGAAGTCATCCAAGGTAGAGGGACAGGGTGTGCCCAGTAAGGGACAAAAGTGCACTCAGGGGCCCCACAAAAGAGGGATATTTATTCATTTGCAGAGCCCTTAATTTCCCTTCAAAAACCATGTTTCGTTAGCCCTGCACCTCTAAGGCAGTGAGGCGCACTGAGCAGGGCCAGGAGAGGAGCAGCATTTGGCCCTGCAGCAGAGGTCTCACTGCCCCACCCACACCTCCTGGGCACTCGCCAATCCCGAAAGCCCCTGCCACCCTCCCCTGAGGGCTTCCTCTGGCTGTGGAAGCATGCCTGCCATGCAACAGTCTGGAAGTGCTGGCGACTCAGTGCCGGGGAGCAGCCCTCGACCCATGACAAAGAGCTGGTGGATGCGCACTGCCGGTCCCATGCCCATCTCGGGGGACAACTCAGAGGCTTGTTATAAGCCATCTCCGAGGTTCTTGGGGGATTGAGCCTCAGTTGCCCGGTTAGCCTGCTTCTTACCACATCCTGAACAGCTGCCTTCCCTTCCCTGTCTCATGCCCACCACCACCCCTCCTGCCGGGGTTGCCTAGGATCACCTCCCAAATAAACCACTGAACTTGCACCTGGTTTCATGTACTGCTTCTGGGGAAAACAACTGGACAGTCTTTTATGACTTGAAGGCACTTGTGTCCCAGCTTAAATTTGCTGTGAGTTGCTTCACGACACCCTCCCATCCTCATACCTCAGTTTCAGCGTCCCTAGTAAGAGAGTGTAAAGGTTGAAATTCATTTAGATGAAATCCAGGAAGCCTTCTGGTGCTGACATTGTGTGATTCTGATTCATTTCCACATTTGTCTCCTTGGGGCAGAAGGGGGGTGGGGGTGCAGGGCGTACAGGGAGAGCAAGCCACACACCAGCTCACAAGTGGCAACTGTGCAAATAGAAAAACTCCAAAAAGTGGTTACCGGAGAACTGAAATGGGTTTGCCATGAGCAATAACAACATGAGGAAGTAGCTTTGGGCTGTGAAAAGGCAATGTTTAAAAACAAATAGTACTCTTAAAAATCCATGAAGAAATGTTTTTAAAAGTGATTTGCAATTGAGCTGGGACCACAGAGCACTCCATTTAATATGTGAGGCCCAGAACCATGTCCCTGGGTATGAGTTCCCATCAGTTAGAACTGATATCCCTCTAGACTTCCAGCCCTAAGTAAGATTACTGTCATTTTTTCTTTTCTCTAGGGTGAAAAGTTGGGAGTACTTTAAAGGTTATATAGAAATATAAATCCTAGATACTTAAATTGAGCTAGTTACAGTTTACTTTCATATTTCAAATCAAATCTCAGCTTTCGCCTGAACTCACAAAGTAGAAGTGTCCAATTTTGACTGTATGTGATCTCACATAAAATCTACAGCCTTCACTTAAAGAAGGAAAAAAACACCCCACCATTACACTTTATCCTCTGAACAGAACACAAAAGCCCTGGTCCGTGGGTCAGTATAGTTTGTATGTAAATTTTAGAATTACATACATTCAAACTGTGAACAGCCCTCAGGAGTCAGTGAGTCTGCCTCCTGTCCCTCCTTAGTGGGGCCAGGATCTCCCTGAACAGCCTCTCTGACAGGTAAGGTCACCAGTACCTGCTTGTATCCCTCCTCCCACCCCCGAGACAGAGCACCCGCCATGGCCCACACTGGTGATCAGGAACTTCTCTTTTGTTGCCTAAACTCTGCATCCCTGCCTTCCCAACCACTTGTACAAATAAACCAAACAATGTAAATGTACTCAAATAAATCATCTACTCAAAAATTACACCCCCACTCTTTGTGATCTATTCTTAAAGGAATAATTCACAAAACTGGGAACTCCCTGCAGAAGTACAAGTTTATCTGTGATGAGACATACATGAAGACAAATAAAACTTATAATTTTACAAACCCTCATGATTATTTCATAAATCATAGAAAGCATTTCCACATCAATTATCTTGCTTAGTTCTCAATAGCACTAAGATGTTGAATTGTTACAAACGAGGGGAAAACTCAGAGGAGTGAAGTGATGTGCCCAAGGCCTGCCACTCAGCAGTGGAGCTGGTCTCTGAACCCAGAATTCTGACTCCACCTTCATGCCTCTCCTGTTGCACCACTCTTGCATACCTATTTGTGAGTGCTACATATTTCCAGGCATGTGGAATTAGTGTGTAAATAATGTGCAGTCCAGGCAGAAGCCAATCTAATAGACAAAGGCAGGCAAGTAAGCAAGTTAATGCAGTGCATTGCAATAAAGACTAAAATTAGAGATAGAAACAAAATACTTTGGAAAAACAGGGAAAGGAGCAACAAATTCCCTGAAAAAGTAAAGGAGGGCTTCACAGGCACAACATTTAACTTAGGTTTTGAAGGATGAGTAGCAATTGCTGGGTGGAAAGTGGGATGGGATAATATTGAGGCAGAAGAAACAGCACCAAGCAAGACAAGTAGGTGAGAGAGTGGTCTGGGATAGAGACCTGGTGTGGCTGAAGCATCAGGCGTGGAGGGGGATAAAGCAGACCAGTTTGGAGAGGTAGGCAGAGGCAACCATAAGGACAGGGAATGTCACTAGGAACTGGGTGCCACAGTGTGGCCAAGGATGGAATAAAGTCGGGGAGGGCGAGTAAGGGCAATGAGT